CTTCTCCTCCATTCTCCTCTCGGGATCTTGGGCACGCACGCACACGCGTCCAGCGTGAGTTTTAAGCCACTGGGTTCGGGACGTGAACCGCGGTCGACTACGTGGGAGTCCAGCGACATAGCCATTACGCTAACTGCTGGTTCCCTTGTTTGTTTGTTTCTTTAAATGTAAACAAACTTTTCTCCTGTCGTGACTCCTCTAGAATTGGAAAATATTTGGGAGTATTCTTATTTTGTGATGGAATGGTAATTTGCACAAGTTTAATTATAACTGTTGCCTTGAATCAGAAATTAAAAATATTCATTATTGGACAGGGCTTTGGCTGGAATGTCATACCCAAAGATTAACCAGAAAACTATGGAACTAAGGTGGATCTCAAGTAAGCCAACAGAAGCTCTTGGAAAAATGGCCCGGCACCATAAACAGCTCTGCCTGGCAGAGAGGATTAGAGAAGCCATATGAAAGAATTTATAACATAAAATAGCCTGGACTTTTCCAGCCCAGCATTGTAATCAGTAGAGATTGCAAAAGAGCAACCACACCAGAGGATTATCTTGAGAAAGACTTTGAAAGAAGAAAAAGAGAATGATCTTTGCTAGCAGATGGTATATCACAGAATACTTGGTAGGCAGGGCTGAATTGAGAAGGCTTATGTGTGACTAGTAGTGTTTGCTTTGCAACAGTTTGAGGAGTTGACATGTAAATATTTTCTCAAAATTATGTAAAACCACACTGTCTCTGTTATTATAGAGTCACAAAATTATAACAAAGATTTCAAACATTATCTTTAAAATTCAGTTTTTAAACATTTTAAAGTTGTTTATTAACTGTCAAGAACTATGGAGTATGAACAAAAATGTTTTGATATGTAAAGTAAATGTTTGTGGGAAAATATCTATACAGAGTCTGACAGGTGGTGTGGTGGTAAAGACGATGGACTCCCACATGGCTTGTACCACCATGGTTCAAGTCCCAGACCTGGCAGATAGCTTTCTCATTTTCCCTCACTCACTCTCTGTCTCTCTCTGGGCAAATTAAAATAATCATAGTAATAATAATAATAACAAATAAAATTAAATAAATAATTCTTTTTAAAAAGTCTATACAATTTGTAAGAAAAAGTCACCAACTCAATAGAAAAATAGACAAAAGGCTTGAATAGGAACTTCACAAGAGACGATCTCCAAACAGGCACTAAAAATAACACGGTGCAGGGCCAGCAGGTGGCACAGTGGTGAAGGCACTGGACTCCCACGTAGCTGACCGCAGTTCAAGTCACGGACCCAGTGGCTTGAAATTCACACTGGACGCATGTGCATGCATGCCCAAAGGAGGAGAATGGAAGAAAAGGGACTGTGGCGGCCATCCCTGCAGGGAGTGATTTCTCACTTTCTGTCTCTCTGTCTCTCCAGGGAACACACATGCCCTACAGCAAGAATCTCTCTGAAAAAAGAAAAAGATGCTCAACCCCCTTAGAAATCAGGAAGATGCAAGTGAAAGCACATAAGATATTGTAACACGCCCACCAGATGAACAGAATTCTGACTAACTGGCATGCCAAGGATTGGCAAAATGTGAGGCCACAGGGACTCGGATACACTTCAGTCCAGAACTATGAGCTGGTGCAACCACTGTGGAGAAGAAATGCCACTATCTGCTAAACTTGAAGGCATGCACCCCTGGGAGCCAGCAGTTCCACTTCCTGGACGCCTGCCCCGAGAAACTTGTACATGTGCACTGTTAGACCAAATCGCACACAACCCCACCCACAAATTCATGTTGGAGCTCTACTCCCCACGGGACTATACTTGGAGACAGGATCTTCGAGGACGTTCTGAGGTTAAATGAGGTCGTGAGAGTGAGAATGATCCTGTAGGACTGGTGTCCTTATATAATGAGAAGAGACCAGGAGTGCACGCACACACAAAGTGTGGGAGGCTGTGCACCAGCGAATTCTGCAGAGGCCATTTTTCATGAGTCTCTTACTATTGCCATATTAGGCTCAGAGAGCAAACAATTACAAAAGCCACAACTGGCTCCCCTTCAAAAACCTCACCTTCAACACCACACTCTGATTGGCCACTTCCCATAGCAAATCGGTGAGCTTAGAATCCCTCAGATTTGCATATCCGGGCACCTCATGATTGGTCCACAAAGCAACCAATCATAACCCACCTTTTGCTATCCTTCATTCAACCAATCATGGCCCACCAATGTGTATTTAAGCACGATCCCTGGCCCATAATTGCCAGACGACCCTGAAGACCCTGAAGAGCTGCGACACGGCGCCATCTCCGGACGACCCTGAAGACCCTGAGCTGTGACGCCGCGTCGTCTCCGGACGACCCTGAGCTGTGACGACATCGTGTCAGCTCCGGATGACCCTGAACACTGTGTCGTCTCTGTGCTGCCTACAATAAAGAGACAACCCTGAAGAGACACTGCGTCGTCTCCATGCTGTGATAGTGCACTGTTCGTCCCGTCTCTCACTCCTTCCCTCAGGAAACCTGTTCTACTGTCCCGCGGGCCAGGACAACAGAGGAAAGGCTGTGCGGGGACACAGGGAGAAGGTGGCCCTCTGCAAGTCAGGAAGCAAGGCCTCACCAGGAACCAACCCTTCTGTCACCTTCATCTTGGACTTCCTGCCTCCAGAACTGTGAGAGAACACATTTCTGCTGTTGAAGCCACACCCCATCTGTTGCATTTTGTTACGACAGCTAAGCTGACAAATACATGTGCACCAGCATCCAACCATCAGTGTTCAGAGAAATACTTTTTTTTTTTTTTAAGGTGTTTACCATAGGGCATGTGCACTTACCAAGAGGAGAGAAACAGATAGAGAGAAAAAGACAGAAAGCAAGAAACACCCCCCAGGAGGGATGGCCACACTGCAATCCATTTTCTTCCCTTCTCTTCTTGGGATTTTGGGCACACATGTACATGCACACGCACCCAGGATGATCCTTAGCCACCAGAACTAGGACTCAAACCATGGTCAGCATGTGGGAGTCCAGGACTCCAGTCACTATGCCACCTGCTGGCCATAAACTGTGGTAGACTCATGTGATGAAAATAAAAGGATACAGCTACATTCAACAACATAAATGAATACTACTATCATAATACTAAGTAAAAAAAAAAAAAAAAAAAAAAAACAGATACGAAAGAATATATAGAGTCTGATTCCCTTTACAAAGAGTTCAAAAACAGACAAAACTAAGCTACACAATGTAGGGAAGCATACACATTTAGAAAAATTGCACAGAAGGCAATTATTACAAAAGTCAGAATAGGACTAGCCCATGGCCTAGTGGTTAAGGGAGCCAGATCCAACATGGTCAGCTGTGTGGTTTGAAGCCCAGCCCTGATGGCTTGGAAAAGCATATCAAAGACATGTGTGTGCATACCCAAATCCCAAAAGGATGGAGAAATGCTTTGTAATACATTGAAAGTGAGTGAAAGACAGACCAGTCCTAGACTTGCAGGGATCTGGGTCTTAGGCAATCCTGGCGAGGACCATGGTTACAGCTATGTAGAAACAGGAAGGAGACAAGGCCTGGATGAATTCTGGCAATTGACCCAATGGGAGGTGTCAGTGGATTGGACATGGGGAGGAGGGGAACAGAGAACTGAAGGGTGACCTCATCTCTGAGATGTTTGTATCCATCTTCTGGGGCATGGCCATGCTTCATGTGGGGATGCTTCCTCCCTCTCTCTCTCAAGTGAGCACATGCATCCTCTGGCCATTTAAAATTTGTTTTCATTGTGCAGTAACTATTTATAAGGGTAATGATTCATTCAGCTATACATTCGGGTATAATGCCTTTTTCTCTACATACAGATCACATTTCACAATTCTAAAATGTTGCAAAGCTGTATTATAAAGTGTGTAAGTGAGCACAATGTTCTGCTTTTTCTCATGATGATAGGCTGGTATCTTTCATTTAATTTTTTCTTTCTCTGTGTATGTCCTCAATTACTGACACCATAAGCATGTAACCAGTCTATCTGGCAAGTGATCTAATGTCACAGAGGGTGCCACTTCTCCTGGCACTAGAGACATGACTGTGAAAAAGCCACGTGAAAGCCGCAACCACTAACGAACTGACAGCCTGACTCAACCTCCCTAACTCCAAATGCCATCATAATCCATTGGGATTCCACCTGTCCTATGGGATTGCTCTGAAGATTAAACACCTGTCCTAATGTCCAGCATCCCACAAATATTTAATGAAAGTTGGCACCAGGGGCCAGCCGGTGGTAACACAAATGGACCCACATGGGAGAGGTCCTGGATTCATGTCCCAGGAGCTCCCTGAGCATGCTGGATAAGCATGCCTGCCCATGACCTGGACTGGCTGGGACTTGGTGTGGTCACTGCATGAGGACTCTGTTAGGGGGTCCCTGTCTCTCTGTCTCTCTCATGGAGGAAATAGATGAATACACACACACACACACACACACACACACTCACACACAATACATTGGTTTCATTCCACATTCCTCAGAAGAAACAACAAATCTCATGCTTCTAGTTCTACCATGAGGAAGACTGTATTTCTCTGTACATCAAATTTTATTCTTCTTTCTACTCATAGCTTTCATCAATCCAAGCTAAAAATAAAAACTTAAAACAATGATCAGCAAACGAGGGCCCACATGTCAAATTCACCCCTTCTCTCCATTATGTAAATGAAGTTTTATTAAAACACATTGATTCATTTCTATATCATCTAGGGTGGCTTTCATGGTGCAGTGGCAGAGGTGAATACTTTCAACCGGAATAGTTGAGTCCTTTCCACAAAAAAATGTTTGCCAATCTTTGATTTAGAGCTTTCCCATTTCAGAAGACACACAGTATTTATTTAATGTCAATCGTTAACCATGCATTTTTACTGTTATGGCATTATATACATGGACAACCAAATGGTATAAAACCTTTGTGAAGATTGTATCCAAGGTTGACAATACAGAAATGGACTTGTACTCTAAGATCAATTTACATTCCATAATATCTTCACATTTTCATTACAGAGAGTTGTACTTTCATCACATACCTTTACAGGAATTTTCTTATCAAAATCAGGAAAGTGAATGGTTTTACTTAACTTGGAGACATACAGTATTATTATGGTGGCTGCCATCTAAAGAAAATGGGAGAGAGAAACTTTAGCTAAATATCTGGAAAGAGTGCTTGAAGTACAGTGATATCATCAGCAGAAAACTTTGCTCCTAATTAGTTTACACATTTAAGACTTAAGACAGGGCCAGCAGGTGGATAGTGGTTAAGAGTACTAAACTCCCATATGGCCAACCATGGTCTGAGTCCCGAACTTGGTGGCTTGCTTTCTCACTTTCTCTCTCTCTCTCTCTCTCTCTCTCTGTCTCTCTCTGGTCAAATTTAAATTAATTAATTAATAAAATAAAATTAAATAAAACAATTCTTTTAAAAAAATAAAGAATACTTATGATAGATTTATGGGACCAGCAGGTGGTATGGTGGTTGAGGTACTGGATTCTCACATGGCTAACCATGGTTTGAGTCCTAGACCTGGTAGCCTGCTTTCTCACTTTCCCTCTTTCTCTCTCTTTCTGTCTGGTCAGATTAAAAAATAATAATCAAAATTAAAATTGAATAAATAATTCTTTAATAAAAAATAAAATTTACATGGAGGCCAGTAGGTGGTGTGGTAGTTAGGGCACTGGACTCCCACATGGCCAACCTCAGTTCAAGTGCTGGAACTGGCATCTTGCTTTTTCACTTTCTCTCTCTCTCTTTCTCTGTCTCTCTCTGCTGAGTGCATGTGCCCTATAGCAAATTAAAAAATAACAATAATGGGGCCAGTAGATGGCATGATGGTTAAGAATCTGGACGCCCACATGGCCAACAGCAGTTCATGTCCAGACCTGGCAGCTTGCTTTCTCACTTTCCCTCTCTCTCTCTATGTCTCTCTGGTCAAATTTTAAAAATAATAATGATGAATAAAGTTAAATAAAATAATTACTTAAAACAATAATAATAGGGCCAGCAGATGGCATAGTGGTTACATCACTGGAATCCCACATGGCCAACAGTTGTTTGAGTCTCAGACCCAGTGGCTTGAAATTTACACTGGCCAGATGTGTGTGCATGCCCAAGATCTCAGGAGAATGGAGAAGGGATTGCAGCGTGACCATCCCCCCTGCGGGTAATTTCTCACTTTCCTTTTCACAATTTCTGTTTCTCTCTCTCTCCCCGGTGAGAGCACGCACCAACAAAAACTTCTAAAATATAATAATAATAAACAAAATTAAATAAATCTTTTTTTTTAAAAAAAAGGATAGATTTAAATAACTCAGGCCCATCCCAAATGATGATCATACTTTGTATGTAGGTATCATTTAATCATTCTTAAAGAAATATACTAACATTTATTTAAAATAAGTGTAATTCAGGCTTTTAAAATCAGGTCTAACTGGACTTGACCCTGAACAAATTACAAATCAGAAAGGCTTTATTTAATTGCCAATGGGTTAAGAACGGTGAATTTATTTGATTTGGGAATGGTAAGGGTACGTTATCACATACTCACTAATCTTTTTGTAAAGTGCTTTTTCCTACATACTCTTACACTGGAATGTAAAGATAAGATGCCTTTTTACTATAAGGAAGCATACTGTTCCCTTGTTATGTGTTTTTCTCCCTAAAACGACATGGCAAAGAGTTACCTCTCGGCAAAGCATTTAACCAGAAAGTCCGCTCATAGATATAACAGACTTTTCCAGATCCCCAACGAAAACCTTAGTCAACAGATACAATTTTAATCATTGTCAGCTTTTTCCCCTTATAAATCAAAGCAAAATCAAAACAAAACAAACAGGGAACCAGCAGTTAGCGTAATGGCTATGTCGCTGGACTCCCACGTAGTCGACCACGGTTCGTGTCCTGGACCTGGTGGCTTAAAACTCATGCGGGGCGCGTGTGCGTGCGTGCCCAAGATCCCGAGAGGAGAATGGAGGAGAAGGGATTGCGGCGTGACCATCCCCTCTGGGGGGTGATTTCTCGCTTTCTGTCTCTATGTCTCTCTCTGTCTGTCTGGCGAGCGCACGCGCCCTACAGTGAAAATCTCTCAAAAAACAAAAAAAAAAAAAAAAATCTTTGCTGCCTACAACTTCTTATATTTTAGAAATCACAAGGATATAATCAAAAGAACAAACCTGCCCCAACTTAATATTAATGGGAAATTTCAGAAACAACAAATGGCCTCAGGGGCCGGCAGGCAGATGGTGACCAAGCTTTTCTTGTACCTGAGGCCGACACCACGAACTGCGGGAAGCTTAACGGCCAATATGTCTCGTTTGGCGCATAGAGTTCTCTGTAAAAATCTAAATCTGTTGCCAGCAATTATGAATTTGGAGATTTTGTAAAAAAAACAAATTCTTGGGACCAGCAGATGGCATAGCAGTTATGTCACCGGACTCCCATTTGGCCAACTGCATTTCGAGTCCTGGACCCAGTGGCTTCAAACTCACATCGGGCACATGTGCCCAAGATCCCAGGAGGAGAATGGAGAAGGGAGTTCAGCATGACCATCCCACCCTGGTGTGTGTGTGTGGGGGGGATTTCTCACTTTCCTCCTCACTGTCTCTGTCTCTCTGTCTGGTGAGTGCATACACCCTAAGACAAAAACCTCTCAAAAAAAAATTTTTCGGGACCAGCAGTTAGCGTAACGGCTATGTCGCTGGACTCCCATGTGGTCGACCGCGGTTCGAGTCCCGGACCTGGTGGCTTAAACTCATGCTGGGTGCGTGTGTGTGCGTGCCCAAGATCCCAGTAGGAGAATGGAGGAGAAGGGATTGCGGCGTGGCCATCCCCCCCGGGGGGGGGTGATTTCCTGCTTTCTGTCTCTCTGTCTCTCTCTGGCGAGCGCACGCACCCTATAGCAACCTTTCCAAAAAAAAAAAAGTTTCAAGTTCTCTCTTTCTCTTGAGAAAACTCCCAAATCCTGGAAACAAGTGCATGTGCATGATGGGTCTGGTCTCACTTCCTCTCCCCAACCCTTTCCCTGTCAGACACAATGATTCAAAGTATCCAGTGCACACTTCAGTGGGACAGGACCAGGGAGTCTTTAAGCAGTCTATGGAGGACCAGCTCGGTAGTGTGGTGGTTTGAAGTCTGGATCCCACATGCCAACCCTGCAGTTGGAGTCCCACACCAGGCAGCTTGAGGAACATGCTGGGCACATGCGAGTGTGTACCCCAAATCCTGACAGGATGGAGACATGGGGGAGAAGGGATTACAGTGTGACCATTCCCCATCATTCCCCAGGGGGACATTTTCTCCCTCTCTGTCTCTCTCTTTCTCTGGTGAGTACATGCACTCTCTAGGAAAAATTAAATATAAAATGGTATTATGAACAAACAAGACAAGATTTCAATTTTGTTTTCACCAAAGTAAACTTAGACTTTAACTCCATCTTCCACGAATTGTCTGAAGCCCCCTCACATTCTCCCTCTCCCACTCTAAAGTACATATTTGTTGCCCACCAGGCTTTGGAGGCTTTGAGTCTTCTGGCCCCTTGCTTAGGTAATTATGTTCAATTAAGAAACCTCAAATAAAGGTTGGTTTTACGCAAGTACACTTGTTTCTAAACTGTAGAATGAAATAAAATGTTGGTCCAGCAGGTGGCATGGAGGTTAAGTTGACTGAAATCCATGTGGCTGACGGCATAGTTTGACTACCGGACCTGGTGGCTTGAAAATCACACCAGGTCATGTGTATACAAGCCCAAAATACCAAGAGAACGGAGAAAGGATTGCAGCATGGCCAACCACCTCACCCCAGATGTGGTTTCGCTCTCTCTCTCTCTCTCTCCCTCATATAGTGTATGTGTCCTATAGCTAAATAAATAACTAAAATGTGTCTCACCAGAACTATTGTGATCTCTTTCCACCAGCTGAATAAGTTCTCAAACCAGTCTTAAACAAAATCACTTACATTATCTGTACAGCAATGACTAGTTACAGGTTAATTTACTGTCTTCACTTACCTGTCCAATTCCCAGAACAATTGGTGATGGGAAACTACAAAAAACATAGAATAACAAATCATTTTAGCAACATATAAAAATGTGAAGATAGCATATATAACACAGTGACAGGAGTTATTAAAAACTCTTAGACAGGGGACCAGCAGATGGCATAGTGGTTGCGTGGCTGGACTCCCACATGGCAGACTGCAGTTCAGTGGCTTCACAATCATGCTGGGCACGTATACATGCGTGCCCAAGATCCCAGGAGGAGAATGGAGAGAAGGGATTGCAGAGTGGCCATGGGGTGTGTGGGGGGTGACTCCTCACTTTCCCTCTCTTCGTCTCTGACTTTCTTTCTCTGACTCCAGCGAGTGCACACCCCCTAAACTCTTTAAGGCAAAAACCTCTGGAAAAAAAAAAACACACACACACAAAAACTCTGAGACAATAAAAACATCAAAATGTTCATTTTCATTTGTTCATTTCTTTCTCATTTTTTTGATTGATCATTGCTAAATTTGGCAATTTTCTATTGCCTTTTAAGGCAGACTGGCATTATATTGGGTTGTCAGAAAAGTCATGATGCATTTTTGCATAGAAAAGCACAGAAAAAACATGTCATGACTTTTCTGACAACCCAATATTAACAGACAACATGACTGTATTTTCAGAAAAGCCAAACTAATGTGATAAATTATTAGAATAAAATAACTTTAGAAAAGCCACTGGATATGAGATAAATATATTTTTTAAACTGATGATACATCTATGGCAGGATGAAACAAAGAAAATGAAAAGTTTAAAGACATCATTTACAGTAGCACCAAAAAAAGATCAAATAATGCCAACTGGATATTTTACAATATTAATTATTTTTAAATTTTTAGGTGTAAAAATGGTACAGATTGGATTTTTTTAAAAACAAAGGCTCAAGACCAGCAGATGTCCGATGCAATGTAATGGTTATGTCACTGGACTCTCACGAGGTTGACCGTGGTTCGAGTCCCGAATCCAGTGGCTTAAAATTCATGCCAGGCATGTGTGTATGTGTACCCAAAATCCCGAGAGGAGAACGGAGGAGAAGGGATTGCAGCGTGGCCATCCTGCCTGGGGGGAGGTGATTTCTCATTTTCTATCTCTCTATCTCTCCCTGTCTCTCCAGCAAGAGTACATACCCTACAGCAAAAATCTCTCTTAAAAAAAAAAGAAAGAAATGGCTCGTTATCTTTTAGAAATATGCACTAAGGTGCATATGACAGTGGCATGGTGGGTAAGGAGCTGGACCACACATGGCTGACTCTGCAGTTCGAGTACTAGACCCCATGGCTTGAAAGACATGCTGGGCACATGTATGCATGCCCAAACTCCAGAGAAGAGAATGGATGAGAAGTGAGTGTTGCATGGCCATCTCCCCTGGGGGGTGATTTCTCGCTTTCCTTCTGACTGTCACTGTCTTTCCCTGACGAGCACATGCGTCCTATGGCAAAAAACCTTTCAAAAAAAAAAAAAACAAACAAACAAACTTACCTGGCATTGAAATAATGAACTCAGGAGTGAAAACATGGTGGTAAAAGGGCTATTGGTGCTTATTGTATCATTTAATGTAGAACACATTCACACAAAGATGGGATTGTGATTACAGTGTGCTACATTATAAAACAAGATGTGCAGGGCCGGGAAGATGGGAAGACACACACATTAGCTTTAAAGTCAACGTAACCACTTTAACTTCTGAATGTTTTTCATGACCTCCTAATCTTAGAGGGATCTTTTAAAAAAACATTAACTTTTGCAGTAAAGCAATCGATATGTGAAAGTCAACAGTTGAGTTAAATTTCAATTTCTTTTTTTGTTTTTATGGTTTTTGGGGTTTTTTGAGAGGTTTTTGCTATAGGGCACGTGTGTTCACCGGAAAGACAGAAACAGAGAGACAGAAAGTGAGAAATCACTCCCCAGGGGGGATGGCCACACCTCAATCCCTTCTCCTCCATTCTCCTCTCTGGATCTTGGGCATGCACGCACACGCACCCGCCATGAGTTTAAGCCACTGGGTCTGGGACTCAAACCGTGGTCGACTACATGGGAGTCCAGCGACATAACCATTATGCTAACTGCTGGTTCCTATTTCAATTTCTCTTTTCTCCGATCTGTTCAAACAAAATGGTACGTATATGTGCAATTTGTAATCCCCACCTTAAATGGGAAGAGACATGACCAGTCATGACCAACAGTGGGACATCCCTTCACCTGATATAACATACAGTTCACAGGGGTCACCTATGACGTAGTCCTGCCCAAAATATTTAAGCTGAATGAAATCAAGCCTTTCCATCTGACTTTCAGTTAAAGAATAGAACAAACTAATCAAGACTGGGGAAAAAAAAAAAGATAGTCTATAATATTGGACATTTCACAGAAGAATTGGTTTACGTTTTTGAAATACTATGTCGGGGCAAGTGGGGGAAAGGGACATTTCTAGATTAGCATAAATTAAAAAGACTTTATTGTATGCATTGCATGAGCCTTGATTGGATCTTGATCCAAATGTTTCAAACAACAGTGAAAACATCTTGGGGGACAATTGGGATGATTATAGTTCTGGTGTTACAGTATTTTAGGAAGTTATGGTTAAATTTGTTCAAAGTGAAAATTGCACCGTGAAGAAGAATGTCCTGGGAACCAGCAGTTAGCGTAATGGCTATGTCGCTGGACTCCCCACGTAGTCGACCACGGTTCGCGTCCCAGACCCGGTGGCTTAAAAC